ATATATATATATATATATAAAACCTAAAAATCGCTATTGCCCAAGAAGCACATAGAGGATGTAGGCGGTAGAATTTGGGATGAGTGAGTCTCGGGGCAAGTTCCACAGAGCACATGTGAGCTTGGCAGAGCTCCGCTTATATGAGTCGAAACGGAACAGGCCAAGGAAGTACGTCGCGCTCTAGAAATATATATCCACAGTTCATTATGAGCGATGGCTTTTCCTTCCGTGAGGTTCCATTTAGGACTTCCGTGTTGATTCAGGCTGCTCCTTTTCGCTCAAAATTCTGAGTAACTTATTTTGCACCAACGATGATGAAATCGGAGAGTGACTTCACCAATTGTACATGTTCCTTATCATCTTTTGGCTTTTTCCATCTTAGTTTCCATCATCTTTAGTTACACTTACATTTTTACGAGATCACCTACTAGCTGAGTATATTATGCTCACACAAGCCTTGAGTAGGACCGGGACATCAATATCTAGCGAAGTAAAAACCTAGGAGTGAAAATACAGTTTCATCGGTGGCCTTTTCATGAATGCAAAGCCTATGATTAACAACGATCAATCATTTGTATAGTGTTCTTCATAGCTGTTGCTAAGTCAACACCGTGAAGCGCCGGACTTGCCATCCACTGGGAAATGTAGCAGTATCTATGCCTTAAACCGTGGGTTCGAATTCGTTAAGTTCAGTGAACGCCGTATATATTTCGTGCAAATTGACTGTATTGACTCTCCGGAACCCTGCTAGCTCGGGGGGGGGGGGGAAGAAGTGTCCTTCATCTTATATTCTGCCATTCCCGTTGAAGATGACTCGTGTGAAAAGTTTATAGATTACAGACAACAGGCAAATTGGGCGATAATTGCCAATGTCGTCTGGATCTCCTTTTTTTACAGCAACGCGGTCGTGCTAGTTTTCCACAAAGTAGGCACTTTGCATTTTGACAGGTACCGCATGGCCAGGGTTGGGACAATGACTGGCGGAAGACTCTTTAGATGTTCTGCTTTGATCCTGTCGGGACCGGGTGCCGTATAATTCCTCATCGACGTGATAGCATGTCGAATTTCATAAAGGAGGAAGAACGACATCATCACTTCGCCTAAGATCGTAGGTAGGCATGTACGTGGGGTGTCGAGGAGATCAGAGTAAGAGTGTAGATTACCTTTTCCATTGCCCTTCAAAATGTTTCAACTGTTCCGTCAGGGCGACGAAGGAAATTGTCTTGGCCTCATAACTGAGTGAGCTCCGGCGGGCTTAGTCGTTTTTTGACATCTCTAAAGGCACAGTTTGCGATAGTTTTGGGAAATCTAGATTATGACGAAAAATGGAAGATAAGATGGGAAATAGTGCGATGAAGGTAAAGAAACTGCGTGAATAGGTATTTCCAATGCGAGAAAAGGCTTCGAAAAATTGTTAGAAAGGGGGCTGGACGAGAATGAGTTGAGGAAAATAAAGAGTGGGGCATTCGGACGGGCTACTCACTGTGCGTCATTGCGTACGTGTGGGTCCTGGTGCGAATAGTTCACTACGGTAAGCAAGAATTCATCCACCAATAAACATAAGTTAACAAAAATCCCTAGTAAGAGCAAAAATGGTCAATCCATTTTCAGCCTCTTTAGAGAATAAGAATGTGGATCGCAGCAGCAAAAAGAACAACACAGAAAAAAGAGTGGGAGAAAAACATCGCATCATCACGCGGCGATCAGCTGATTGTGTGTGGGTCATGACGCGAATACTTGCAATCTGTATCGCCTCGACACTCGCCTGTTTCTTTAAGACTCTCAGCTTTCGTGGCGCAGTCGTAAAGATGTTCGATGAGCCGGTCGTATTCTTCATCGATGTTGTCGCTGACGGAATCTTCACACAAACTCGCCAGTGAAGCGAAGTGATCCCAGTTGACAACAGTCCTGTCGCATGTTCCAAGGAACATTTCTTTTCCACTTTTGAAAAAGGCGTGCAACGGACGGTACGGTTCTACTTTCGGTCAGTCCGATAACGTTATACTTGATCTCCTAGCTTGCATGATCGGATCGTCGATGCACGCTTCCGACGTAAGCGTTAGTGCATTGAAGGTACAGATCGCCACCTTAGTTCTCCTTTCAGGCAGCCTTTCGTGGCCTTGAGATTTTAGCAGCCTCTGCCGAGCGGTCTTACCCAACGCCGCTGTATCGGAGGCTCCCCCAGCTTCAGGGACATGAGGCCCATTTTTGTTACTGTTTTTGGCATATGAATAACACGTGTAGCTTGCCAGGCTCTAACATGTGGGCCCACTCTTAGCCGTGCGGACAAGCAGACGTGTAACATATAAATATAATCAAAAAGTATAATGAAAGCTCCAAGCAAAATTTACCGAACAGTAGAAAAACGTTGGCGAGAGCTTTTGGACCATAGAAGCCACATCTGATGGTAAAGATGAAGGCATATGGCAGGGCGACAGGTTGTCTCTCTTTTGGTGGGCAGATATGACCCGAGCGAAACCTTGTTCTTAGTCCACAACGCAGTGATTCAGACCTCATGTACCGGGGCTTGCTGCGGACAACTTAACGCGTGAAGAACAAATTCAACCGTGAACTGGGGCGAACGGATAGAGGGAACTGAAGCGAGGGGGCCGCCATCCATTCGCTCTACAACTACCTAACCACATCTTCGAACACGAAGCGACAAGCCGGTCAGTATAAAGCCTCGCATAACTGGAAATTACCGGAACTTTGCATTGGAGCAACTGATGGAATACACAGACGACAGCAACAGAGACTAGGAGCGGTTGACGTTGAGTGGTGGTCCATCGACCGCGTTCAGTTGTTGATATACGGATGAATCGTTCACTCGAGCAACTCCGGCACTGCTCACATATTGTGAATTCCCGCCCCAAAGTGCGGGTGGGCGGTGGGGGAGATCCCACCTATGCGTACTCGACCTACGTGTACTAGCTCTCTCTGCTTCTTAGCACTACTACAATCACTGACTTCTCTACCCTTTCTAGTGTCTATCCACTTTTCCAAATTCATCGAACGGCGCTGTAAATTTTTGGTATTTAGGTCGCACCCTCCTCTTCACTAACTCTTACCATGACTTTGAATACTCTTTCATATGTTGTCCCTGACTACTTTCCGGTTTCTGCAAAATTGTTGAACAAACTTTTTCAGTTTTTCAATGAGTTCCTTTCAATAGAGAGCAGGTTCATTTGTCCGTGACACTGCTAAGCTTGTATATGTTTGCCTTTGACCTTGATCACTTCCACTATTTTTTTCTGGTGACCTGCAGGGTGTCGTAAAATATGCGTGGGCTGCGCAGTTCTCGCCTGTTCTTCTTTGGACAGCGAGTACTGAGCAGCAGCCCCATGTTGAGTATTACAAAACTACACCGGTTACCATCAGTTGCTGTTATCGATCGTTACGTTTACAGCTATATCCCTACCACATCTGTCCAACTTACATACCGCTAAATGAAACAAAGTTGCAACTAATCGGTCAATTACACAACAGACCAACATAGGATATGGGAAATCGATGTATCGGCAACATCCCCTTTGACTGGACATAGCTTGGAATCCGGGGTACATATAGAATACCATGTCCCCCGAATTCAGGCTAAGGGAAATGAGATTACGCCGTAAAATGTGTCGCGCAACGCATTGCGAGGCAAGAGGAAAGCTGAAATTTTAATTGAGCATCACCTTGCAACTGAGACCACTTCGTTTCCATGTCACTTACATATGCCTACAATATACACTCAGAAATGGAGAGCAATTTTGAGGTCAAAAGCGCAGGGAACATGTTTGAAAATTAAGTTAGCATACTAATTATGGGATTTGAAGAGATGAGAGAGAATGGGATCTAAAGTCTCAGAAGAAAAACCAGACCTCCCTCCTGAAGTCTTTTTATGGTCGTGTCGTTGCATACTCACGATAACATTTGTCAATATTAATCGCCATGAGTTGCAGGTTGCGAGCGCGTGGCGTGACCCCATCAACTCGGCGATAGAATCGCAACATACCCTGTGAATCCTATTACACGTGAAGGCTTCATGTCTGAAGAGAGCAGACGATGTGAATTAACGGTGCATGATCTGGAAGAATTTTGAATGGGATTGTCGTTTTTAGAATCCCTTTCCTAGCCCCGCTCCCCCTCCTCTTGTGCAATCCTGCCACATGCCACATGTTTTCTGCTGCCAGTGTACCTATCAAATTTTAACTTTCTAGCTCTGAGTTGGTCATTTTCGCTCACGCTCTATTCCCAGTTGACGGAGTCTACACCTGTCACCAGCCGAGTGTTCCCATCTCACTGCTTACATATATCTCTTCTAAACCGAAGCGCTCTAGGTCAAAAGAACTATTTTCTGCGCACGCCGCATAGGCGGGCTGCAGTCGTGCAAGCTACTATCGGATTTCCTATTTGGCCATCTGTATCCCTTCTGAATTAGAACACTCTACGCCCGCAGTACTCCCGGTGGAGGACTTGGTTCCGCACGGCGCGTCTCTCGTGGGCAGGGTCCGACTACGGTCACTTTTTCACAAGTAGCTCGGCTTGTCATCCAACCAACTTGGCTGGGCTATTCTAGTCGAATTCCAAAAAGGCGTCGTATAAGGCGGTAATAAATAGAGAGATAGGCTAAATTACATCTTCATTACAGTAGCGTCTAACCACCTTTTTTCTGCGTTCTAGGACAAGTCGAGAAACCAAAGTATGCCCTACCCACAACCAAGCATGGTTGAGGAAATGGGACGGCATACGGTGCCTTCTCCTCGAACGCAGTGGCCCTTTTTTGGAAAATTGGCAGCAGGATGACGCACGAGTACTACAGGAACATGCTGGTCGACAACTTCTTGCCATGGGCACGGTATCACATGCCATGGATAATGATCCGAAACACACCTCAGTGGTAGTGAAGGCGGCCTCAGCGTAGAGCGAACCAGACTTCCGGAGTGACCAAGCCACTCAACGGAACTGAATCCTATAGGGAACACGTGGGAGAGCTCGAAAGACGTTTTTCGACCAAT